AAAGGCACCCACAACTCACTAAACCACAGTCTGATATTCATATCCTAAGACACGCTAATGGGTTTACCATTTCGGTTTCTTCCTTGGATGATCAAGATGGAACATTCCCTTGAGGAGCAGTTTGGTAGATTGTGTTATCTCCTGTCATTTCACCAACATTGGCTTTCAGCTTTCGTTTCAACTTTATTTTTTCACAAACACCAAGTTCCTTCCAAGACCACATCCCGTGTTATTGCATTACATTTATTACAAGCGACGTCAAGGTATTCTTGAAGCTTTTTACAATAGTTTATTTGATAATCAGCAGTAGATGAAATGGTAAGTCACTCAGGTCTCTAGGAGCCAAGCAAATGCTGACCACGAACTAATCTGTAAAATCTCATCAATTGGGGGATCGTCTGGGATACTCCAAAGCCTCGCGAATTAGCATAAAATTAAAGGAAATTCTGCAGGGTTTGGAAAGAAAGACCATAACTTGTGCCATNCCCATAGATTTTAGATCGATCTATCCCTGTGGGGAGTCTCACTAGATTACTGTCAGCTTAGCCGGCTTAAGCGTCTGTCCCGCCTACTAAAAGATGTAAGGGGGTAATTAACTATGGTGCGCGCTCGGCTGACTGCAATTTAGCGTGAACCCCCAGGGAGGAAGGTCGATCTAAATCTCTGGGAATGCACTCTAACCTCTTGAGGCATTATGTAATACCTCGGAGCGTTCTTTGCCATCAGTGTTCAATGAATCGGGAGGTTCTAAGGAGTTTAGGTTCCCAAAGGCTTAATTTGATCTTGCCTCAGTACTCAAGACATTGTAACAGCAAAATGTCACTGCAAAAGAGTACCCCTTTCATTTATGAGTATGCATGACAACCACAAGGTTTCCCGCGATTCCTATTTACGTAATTACGTAATTACTTACCATAAAATACACTCCTTTCACGCCTTGCCTAGGTTATGTTCTGGGCTTTCGTGACTGAATTCTGAAAATATATGTTCGGCGAAAAAAACGTACGAATTATTTCAAAAATTAAAAAAAAAAGAATATTATGTTGTGGGAACATATTCAGTTTATATAAAAATTTACGAACGGTGTGTGCATTATCTACCAATACTTGGTTTAAATATTCAACTTAGCTCATATGGTTACTTTATGTAGTTGTTCAAAATAAGAATGTTTCCGAGCTTTTTGAGCGAGTGTATTATTGAAAATATCTTTGCATATATGACGATATCTTACAACTGTGGCGGTCCCAGTGGTTAACACCTTGGACTGCGGCAAGGACAAGGAGGCAATACTTATCTATATTGTATTAATGCTCTGGTATTTCAAAAGCATGGATAGTTTTAATTATAGTAGCTTGCAATTTCAAATTGGATGTTCTTTTTTTGAAAAAGTGGACCTTTAACCATGAAACGTTCGTATACATAGATGAAATTTTACCCAGAGGGGACCTTTTCCTAGCAAAATAGAGGGTTTTTTCCAACTCACCGAACTACCGTCCAGGGATCATTAAAGGATCTATCAAGGCAATGACACTGTTGTAATTGATATTTTACATATAACCGATGCAGACTAGAGAGAGCTAACGTTACAAGCTCGAATATTTAGGTGAAAAAATCACGCTCCGTCAGATATGGCATTGTCCTTCGTTGCGTGTATTTGCTAGAGGTTCGGGAACACAGGGAAAAACTCGAAGTCGTTTTGGTCCATGTTGCTACCCTCGAATACAAAAACAATAACAATAATTAGAAACGTCAAAGGGGATAAAGGATACTCAATTTAGTTCTATTTCTAATCGTTTTTATTCGATTTTTTTTCTTAATTTTCCTCCTTTGTGTTTTTATTTTATGTTATTTCTTATTATCATCGTCATCGTCATCTCCTTCTTTCTGAGGGTTTCACTCAGGTCACGTTAATAGAAACATTAACTATCTATCTAACACCACTTCTGAACGTTCCTGAGTCGTTTCATTTCACAAAGAAATGGCCAATCGATATTGGACGCCCCAGTGGCTCTCATTGCCAGCACATCTTATTTTCACTCTTGTCAATCACGCCGGAAGTAATCAACGTAACGTTAAGCAAGTCTGCGGTTTCCGATGGTACTAGTTTCTACATCGCGTGTGAAAGGCACCCACAACTCACTAAACCACAGTCTGATATTCATATCCTAAGACACGCTAATGGGTTTACCATTTCGGTTTCTTCCTTGGATGATCAAGATGGAACATTCCCTTGAGGAGCAGTTTGGTAGATTGTGTTATCTCCTGTCATTTCACCAACATTGGCTTTCAGCTTTCGTTTCAACTTTATTTTTTCACAAACACCAAGTTCCTTCCAAGACCACATCCCGTGTTATTGCATTACATTTATTACAAGCGACGTCAAGGTATTCTTGAAGCTTTTTACAATAGTTTATTTGATAATCAGCAGTAGATGAAATGGTAAGTCACTCAGGTCTCTAGGAGCCAAGCAAATGCTGACCACGAACTAATCTGTAAAATCTCATCAATTGGGGGATCGTCTGGGATACTCCAAAGCCTCGCGAATTAGCATAAAATTAAAGGAAATTCTGCAGGGTTTGGAAAGAAAGACCATAACTTGTGCCCTGCATACCTTAAACAAAGCCATGGTTCTGGACATTTATAAACACACAGATTGAAAGCATGTAAAGCGGGGTAATTGATAATTAACCGCACCGGTGTTCCAAGATTTAACGAAATGCGGCTAAAAATGACGCCAAAAACAGTTTATAGGATTGCTTTTATGGAGGGGAGGGGGGGGGGTTATCTCTTTCAAAACTGCACAGGTGCATTCCATGTCTAGATGCGTAAACTTAACGTACAGGGGTAGTAAAGGCTCTGTCTTAAGAAATCGTTCTTAACCATTCCCATACATATATAGTTCAAGCTAAGTCAGATTCCCAGTGGTTCATAATAAAATAATTTTCCATCTCACACCATTTTCCAAAACTTGATCAACTTTGTAGTCTATTACGTGTCCCTCGATATCATTTCAAACCATTTCTATTTTCACGAGTGTAATTTCTGTTGATATATTTTTTTATAAACAAAAAAGTCTAAATTAAGAAATATTGAAGGTCTGTAGCCACATTAAATGTGCCTAATTCTTGTAAGTCGTCAGCAGAAAGTAAAACACTTCGTTATCTTGCGCTAAGTTAATAAGTTTGTAAGTTTTTGAACTACTGGACCTATTCGTAAAAAGTCATAAACCTATAAAGCAGATGGAGGTAAATGGTCGAATCGCCACCCCCATAGGCCCAATAGTCGAACCCTGCAATGTTCCTTCCTGTATATTCTTTGCTGAAACACATTCTTCAGGTCAAAGGAAGCAAAATTAGCTCGATTGCTACATCCGAGACATTGAGCATTTTTCAATATGGCCGTCAACTTTTGAGGAAAAGTAGAAAAACGACCAGAAACGCTGGGTAAAATCATTCCATGAGTCTGTCATGTTGCTCCATGGTTTTGAAGCATAAACATATTTAGCTTATGGTTTTGGAACAGGGTATATCAAATTATAAGTAAGAACAAAGTAGCATTTACTCCTGTCTTAGAAAAGATTAGGCTTAAAGAAACTGAACCATTACGATACAGTTCTACACACGTCACGGTGAGGCTCCATCTATGGTGGCTGATTCGGGACATCGTGGTATCGCATCGTGATATCGTGGTATCGCATCGTGATATCGTGATATCGCATCGTGCTATCGTGTTATCGTGGTATCGCATCGTGATATCGTGATATCGCATCGTGCTATCGTGATATCGTGGTATCGCATCGTGATATCGTGATATCGCATCGTGCTATCGTGTTATCGTGGTATCGCATCGTGATATCGTGGTCTCGCATCGTGCTTTCGTGATATCGCAATATCGCGTCCCATTAAACGAATCGATATTACGATGTCCCGAATCAGCCACCATATCCATCACATAGTGATTATCACAACCACACGATCTGTTGACAAGATACTGCGCAATGAAGGTTGTCATTTCAGGACTGTGAGTACTTCATGAGATATAGACCGAGATACAATGTATCTCTCGCAAAGGAATCGGAAATTGTAATGCGTTTTTTTTTTTTTTTTTTTTTTTTTTTTTTTTTTTTTATGAAATGCGATCGATGTTCAGAAGAGATATTATTATATAGAATAGAAGTTCGAAGAAGCTTCTTTCATTAAGGTGACTGCAGAGAGGAGGTCGACATTTCTGTCCACGGTACAATTCACCGTGTGGTACGTAAGCGCTGGGGGGAAGGGCAGGGGTTCTGAAGTAGACCGACTTGACCGACACGTTAGCGTTGTTCTCAACAACGCAAAGCCCCGATATCGTGTTCGAAGATTTATTTAGGGACGCTGGGAAGAGTTATTTTATATCCAGAATGTAGAAAATAAATAAAAAAAATAAATAAATATTCCACCTGACCATTCTGAGGTCTATTTGACCTAAATGTGGCGTAGACCGATACTTATCTTACTTTGAAGAATTGCTAAGTTAATGTAAATTGGAGTTGGATCAAAATGTGGGTGTAAAAGCTTTGGCGTCCTCTGGGCGAAGGCTCCGTGGTGGAATTAGGTCACAGTCCGAGCACAACACCGCTTGCTAATTGTCACAGCTTCAGCGCTTTGTTATTCCTAGCAATATACTCCTTATTGTGTCACCACACAGATTCGTTCACAAACTGAGACACAGACTGGCAAGCCGCAATATGCGTCATCGTGCCATTTCTGGCATTTTGTTTTTTCCGTTTCCTCTGAATTTAAAACCGCTTTTGTGTGACTGGAAAAAAAGTCTGACTATTCACGTTGTTATTATTAGGTCTATGTCAGGAAAATTGACTGACATACCTTTGTAAAATAATTGGTCGATGCACTTTTACAATGCACAATTACCACAATAGTTTATCATTGCATTATTATTATTATTATTATTATTATTATTATTACAAGGCACAATTATTGATTTCAGCAGCGGGATAGAGGATGGGAGATCTGGATGACTTTTTTCTTTCATTTGAAGACCAAATGATGTACGGGACAGAAAATCTCACCGCCATTCACAGCATCGCAGCTAACAAGGAATGGCCAAACGCATCAGTTGAAGAGACGTCACAAGAGACCGCGGACCCGCCTATCTTGATCCACGGGAGGAGGTTCTATGCGGTAGTGACACCTATAATTATCGTCCTTGGTTTGGCGGGAAATCTGATATCATTGTGCGTATTTAAGAACAGGAAGCTCCGCGTGTTGGGGGCAAGTCAGTACCTCATAGCTCTGTCCATATCGGATCTTTCGGTTTTGATAATCTACGTTTTATTCGACTGGATAACCAAAGGACTCCCGTACCTGGGACACGATTTAACCATCCGCATATTAGCCCTGAACGGCGTCTGCCACGTGTTCCTATTCTTTTCCTATTGGTTCCGGTTCATCTCGGTGTGGATTATAGTGACCTTCACCATTGAGCGGTACATTGGAGTATGTAAACCTCTCCAGAAGATCAAGATGAGCACCACGAGGAACGCAAGGAAGACCATTATCTTCTGCACGCTGCTCGGGGCCTGTCTCAGCCTGTGGAAACCTCTGATGAGTGGCGTGTTCATCAACGAGGAGCACAACGTGGCCGTGTGCACGCACGACGCCGCTCACAAATTCACCTCTTTCGTCTTGGACATCATCTTCGCTCTCAGCATCACCTTGGTCCCCGTCATCATCATCACCGTGCTCAACATCGCCATGGTGAGGAATCTGGTCACGCGGTTTCGAGGCGAGGCGGTCAAGGACGTCATGAAGGTCAACAATGCCACGAACAAACTGCGCATGGAGATGACGTGCATGCTACTGGTCCTCTCCACGTGCTTTGTGGCGCTGAGCATCCCCTACTTGATCACGTGGTGTTACCATATGTATACGACGTTTGAATCCAAGCAACGCGACTTTAAATACATGCGTGGCGTGTTGTACATTACACGAACTATATTTTACGTTAATTACTGCATTAACTTTTTCCTGTACAGTTTGACTGGCGCTTGCTTCAGGCAGCATCTTGCCATGATGTTTTGTGGCCGAAGAATGTACTCTCCTGCAGCGAGCGTCAAGACGAGGAGCTTCTCTCGCAGCTCGGGCACACGTATGACCACCTTATCGTTAAATGTCAACAACCTGGACACTTTTGTTTGAATGCAGCTTGCATCTGGTCGGGGATGTTAATAAGAAAGAATGTGAAGAAAGGGCAAAGTTTTCGGTGAAAATGGTCAAAGTCGGTGACGAAATGACGATATTTTCCAAACAAGAAGACATTCAAGTTTAGAGATACAAAGATTACTTTCGACAAGTTAAATACAATTGTCAAAGTAAAGGCGCTGACAGCGTTTAGTCAGTTAACTTCCAATTGACACAGGCTGATCAGCGCTCACAATCAAATAGCGCAGATGGAGATGACAGGGAGTGAGAAAACTGAGACATAGTCGCAAGGCAAGTAACAAATTACGATCTGGAATTTTATCAATTTTGTCTAGAAGGTGCAGGATAGTGTTGCCTCGTGTTGAATTATCCCGCAGTGTAATCTGATTGTCATCTACAGATGGAATGACTACGACAGGATTTTATTTCTTCAACGTGATTAGTTTCTAATTACGCTTCTCTTACTGCGTACATCGCTATGATGAAAACCACAGGACGTCGTTTTGTTATTTTCCAGCATTTGTTGACTGTTAATAAACGATTGTTGCAGACTACTTCTCCAGGGCATTGCTATTCTATGCCTCCAGTACGATAATACTCTTGACTCTTTGATTCCATTACCTCATACACGACCCTGCAAGACGTTTGATTGTGATTTAAGCCACCGCTTTTCCATGTAGCATAAAGTGTCCTATAGTGTGACAGGAATGGAAGTCCTAGGAATAGAAGTCCTGGTTCCCATGTGGTTAGCACAGGTTAGGGTTAGTCGGAGTATTGGGGTTAGTATATGGGACGAATGTCACCTGTACAAAGAAATGGTAAGAGGACTACGGTTCCTAGCGGACTACCATTCCTGTCACACTCGCATATAGAGCCAAAACCTGCTTCAGAAAGGCAGCATTCAAGATAGTGGAAAATAAAGACCGAAATGTTGCTTATCCCCATTTAGAACAGCATTTAACCAGACATTCAAGCACGTCGCCGCCAAGCTGGCCATGTCAGTTAAACTGTTTCTGTCTTTTCTCTTAAACACAACCGACAGACGCTGGCAAAGATGACGCGAAGTGCTGTGCTGTTTGGGTTGAATTGATCGACATTAAAAACATCGAGAAGCGTCGCACGATTGAAAGGAGTTAAGTAATTTCAACTAAATCTATCTTATCTTCATCAGAAGGATTGCGTTGGATTCCAGTGACCACAATGCAACTGTCATTTGCTGTTTTCCATTCCATCCGGAAAACGATCGAAATAGCGACAGGCAAATTAATTTTTTTACACAAAATCTAATATTCGGTCTCGTATGTCGTGACATTTTACAGATAATGGCTAGAGATGACCATTGATAGATTTTAGCCGGCGCCACGGGAGACATGATTCCAATGTAATTTACGGGCGAAATGAAGTAGTTAATCTATGGAGGAGAACGGACAGAGAAAGACCAGTAGTGGAGAAGCACTGATCGCTCTTTTATAGCGAGGGTTGACATTTTAACATAACCAGAGACTTAACTGAAAGGAAATGAAGACAGAAGTCCGGAAAATTGAGAAAAAGGATCACGCTGTTAAACACGTGACTCTTCAAATGGAGAACCATGCTGACAAAAAATCTTCCTCGGTATAGTTTTATAGTTGAGAGTTAGTAAGGAGAGATGCAGAATACGAAAGATTTTTTAATTGTAGATTTTCCTTTTGTACAAATTATTGAAAAAACACGTACAACATATATCCACTTTCCTTATCCTTCAGACATTGGAATGCTTCATATTGTGATGAAAAATGGTGTGTAAAAGTAATCTACGAGAAACTTATCATTGTGTTTTGTATAAGTTTGATGACAGACGAGCTATGGGCCGTGTGGGACATTCCAAAGTGATAATCAACATAATATGGCAGTCTTTGATAAATAATTACGGTAATGGTGACGTTTTCTCGGTCATTATTCAATTTCAAATTTGACTTTCCTAACTCTCCTCCTTGTTATTGTTAAGAGTATTTTTTATACTTTTTCGCCACTAAATAATTAAAATTTAATATTCAGCTAACATTTTAACGTATAGATAAGATTATGTACCATATTGTTTACCTTGATTAGGAATAACATGTCCATGTTTAAATGTGTTAGAAGATGTCAACATTCTTAGTGTGGCTTTTCCACAATCAACTTGATTGGATTTATTTTTAAATTGAGATTCCAAAGTAGATGTAATTTTAGCAGTTTTAAGATATTGTACTTTGCCGTTGTATTACCTGTGTTTATGCTTTTTCATATAAAGATGATCGGCATTTTAATGACTAGCCCACCATTTTACATTCCGCTATATGGTAAAAGACAAAATTCATCCACGCGCCTCTTATATAGGTTACAGACTCCTTCCTGCCGGCAAGATTACTGCTTGGGGAAAATGTTCTGGTCAAAAACTCCGTATCCGAAGGATAGCTTAGATGAACCCTCTTTCCTAGGTCAACTGACCCCGCTTCCAATGCTGTTTTTTTTTAACTTTTTTGTCAGTTTTCCTGTAGAGCCTCCTATATTTCAAACTATATAGTTGTGCTGATTGAGCCTCTTTTATTCTACTTAAACTATCGTTAAATGATTTAAATGTTGTCATTGTGTCATTTTTCTTTAATTGTGTCGCAATTAGGTTGTTCATTTTTACAACTGCGTTATTTTTGTTGAACGGGACACGAGTTTCTGTTAATTATCTCATTAGCTCTTTCATATTTCGTAATAAAATGGTAACCTGTTCGTTTTTACTGCGTTGTTTTTACATTCTTAATTGGCACTCATTCCCCAGCCCGTGGAAATAAAAACAGCATTTTTAGACGATTAAATGTTCGCGACACCTATGGAAGGATAAGTATTTGATTTAAATATATCTAAGAGTGGGGAGATTTAGATCTTCTAGTGTCACGTGGACATGGTGCAGATTTCTCCTCACGGGGGTGGGGGTGGGGGTGAGTGGGTATGTAATGGTTGAAACGAAATATGAAATGATGGTTGCAAGGGACTGGGAGGGGAGGGGTGATTACAAGATTTTTAGTTCTGGGGATACCTCATCCCCTCTAACGTCCTATTAAAAAAATCAGAATAACGAAAAGACAAATCAGAGATGTTTCTCCATTATTGTACCTAAATATTGTCTCAAGTTTATTGTTTTATGCCCTTCTCCGCCTCATCAAAAAAATATGGATTCGCTCGTGGAACGTGGGAGTTTTTGATGAAAGACAAGAGCGACTATTTGATTTAATCCGCTTAATTCGAATCGCTAGCGCTATCCGTGTCATTCCCTCAGGGACTGGCGGAAAAATATTTGCAGGTTACGTTTTGAATTATTTTCGATATGAAAGAAAGTCGTCGACGTACCACCTTCGTCGTACTATATTCCTTGCTCCTTACATCATGCTCACTGCATTATGATATAGTACGGTCTAAAATATGTCTGTTAGTAATATTAAATATTTTAAAAGCTTTGTTCTTGAAAATTCATGATATCTTTTTGAATATCTTGCTTACAAAATAGAACCATACTAAAATGTACTGCGTGTCTCCTAATATAGATTGTTGGCAAATTGCCTTTCACTTTGTAGGCAATGTTTATATCATGCTGTGTCATACAATTGGTTGAGGAAATTAACAGAAGCGCTCTGCGAGTTCTTAAACACTTATCTTAAACCACTGTCGTCAACTTTCCCCAAGAGACGCGCGCAATCTTCTTATCACTTGTTCCAACAGGTTTGCACGTCACCAAGTTCACCCAGTCAACAAATGCTGAATTTGTTACTTGGCCAAGAGGAAAACTGTTGGATGCCTGACAAACTGGGCAACAGGTTTTGAACTGTTTGCTGATTTCTTGACCATATGTAAGCAAAAATATAAATAAATAAATAAATAATTAAATAAATAACCTGACTGAATGATCACTTTGATAAAACACACTAGCAATTACTTTAAGATATTATTGCCTTTCATTTTCTTATTTCTAAGGAGAGAAGGATACAGGAATAAATGAAGGAAGGAAGGATGGGAGGATGAATGGATTGATTGATGGAAGGAAAGTAAAGGTTAAAAAACGGACGAAAGTGTGTGTGTGTGTGTGTGTGTGTGTGTGTGTGTGTGTGTGACCCTCACCGCTCTTGATAAGAGACATTTTACATTGTGTTAGGTACATGCACATGTGTGTGTGTGTGTGTATGTTTGTGTGTGTGTGTGCGTGTGTGTGTGCTATAGACACGTGTTGACATAGTAAACAATAACGGGGGTGGGGGGGGAGCATCCGCCCCCACCCATGCCACCCCCCCCCCCCCCCCCCCCCCCCCCCCCCCCCCCCCCCCCCCCTCCCCCCACCCCCCC